TGCCTGGAGATGTTAACAAGTGAAGAATTGTCTAGGACGTAATGTAGTTTATAATAAAGTGGTTCGCGCGCGTTTTCAATTTGCTGCTTGTTTATACGTATATATATATATATACTCACCTTTTATTAAAGTAATTCAAAAGGAATTTATACTTTTTTTACAACAAGGAGATATTTTAGATTATTTTTCGGGTTTTGATTGAAGTTCATTACGTATAATATAAATTTTTTTTCATATTGTTACTCAACGAAACTAACTTTCAGTATTTTTATGTGGAAAAAAACAACAACGCTATAATTATTATATAAATTACAAAATAAAAAAATATGGCTGTTGAGTGATTTGTTTCCTAACAAACCGTAGACCAGTACCTGATCCTGGTTCTGTAGAAGACCAGTCCACGTCCTAATTTATACAAAGCATTTAAACTTATTCCGCTAAGAGATTGACATTGTTATTCTTAATGCATCATATTCATTATATTTTTAAAGAACTTTGATAGAATATGTGTAAGAAGTAAAATTTTAAATCCAATTTTGAATCGATATTTATTAACGTTGCACTTTAAAGCAATGCAGGGGGTTTTGGCAACGGATGCCATAATTTTGAACCAAGGTTAAACATCAATTACGACGCATGAGCTGGCATCGCTCTTTACAACTTCTACTCCATGCCAATATGAGGACTTAGAGCTTCGACAGATTTTAACGAGCACCAACCTCTTTAAACACGGGCCACTTAGAAGCCAAGATAATATTCCAGCGTTTTGAAAAATGGATGCTTACTGTTTGAGTTTATCTCATCCTTTGTAAAAAAAATATCGGAATTATTGTAACGAAGTTTATTTATTAAAGAATATTAACGTATAAATTATTGTAGCGTAATAAATAAATATATATAAAACAACAAATTTGAATTCAGTAAGTTGTAGTAGCAAAGAAAATGTATATTTAAATACTATATATTCAGATCGGTAAAAGATTTATAGTATAAAAAAAAGCTCTTTGTTTTTATATAGAAGAGAATTAAATATATATAATTTAATAAAACCCTCTTATATAGTAAATTTTAGTACAAAAAAACCCCCTCAAACTATTTATTTTGATTAAAAGTCTATTTAAATATACGAAAGGAATTACTTTAGTCAAAAGAAAAGCTTAAAATACATAGGAATTAAATAATTTTTCTCCTACACTTTTTATTATATCTGGATAATTTTTCTTTCTTTTAAAGCTAAAACCTCCGGTGAGCATTCAAATGTAAATTATAGGACCTTTTAAGTTTCATTCATTAAAAAAATATTCCATTTTTTTTTGTTTTTTTGTTTTTTTGTACTTATAACGATTAATTTATTGTATTAAAAAAAGAAGATATTTCAGTATTTAGAGATATATATATTAGCTAGAGTGCATTTTAATTTATTTTTCACATTATAATCTTGTTTATCCACTTTCACGTACATTTAAAGGGGGGGGGGGTATTTTAGAACTTATGTATAGTTATTTGTCTTGTTTAAATACTAGTTAACTAGCATCGTAATTATACAAAATGCTTTCTTATTTTGCATATCCAAAAGTTTTTTCTTAATAAGAAAAATGCGTAAAATCCAGTGATTTATGATGAGGTTATACCAGTAACACTAACGAATTTTTCAAATAAATTACTACTCCCTCTGTCCCATAATAATAATAGGAGTCAGCGAATTTAATTTGTCCTATAAGATTTGCAACAAAAGAAACTAAAAATATAGAAAGCTACATCTATTATCAAAAAAACTAGATTAAATTAAGCAATTGATTAATTAAAAATATTATTCCTAATTTTTATTTTATGTAAGTGTCCGGATAGTATCTAGATTTTTAAATAATTTCGTGAGAGTATTTTTTTAAACTTATAGATAGGGTCCATCTTCTGTGTGCGAAGCTTTGTTTTCTCTACATCCATTATACTCTTTTTTATAAGAAATGGTTTGAGGGTGCTTGAAATTCATTTTAAAGGAATTTTACTTTTTTTCCCTTCGCAATTTAGAATAATTAGATTTAGAAACTTGAATGTCCGGAGCTCAGGGACATCTTAAGGCACTGGTCAACTGGGCCCGGGCCCAGGGTCTCGCCCTCGGTGGGGGTCTCGTTTGGTTCTCAACTCTGTCTGAATAAGATCATGATCCAGATAATTTTAACGGTCAAATATTATTCCCGTGCATATTCTCTGAAAAACAGGAAATTTCAAATTGCATGTCAACTGGAAAAAAATGGTATGATTTTATTGCTATGGTATAACCGTTGCCCCTGTCTGGGCCTAGGCCTGACACCATTAACAATCAGTCAACTTATGTAATTGAATTACGGTCATCGGTCGAGCCGGTTTGTGCCTAGGGTTTTGAGATTGTGAGTCGTGCACATTTATTTGTTTCATTTGATAATGCATCATATATACTGTCTACTTTTAAAGATCTCAGGTAGCGCCTACTTTTGCAGAGGGGTCCAATGCCTCAAAGAATCTTAAGATTTCTCTCGCCCAGGGCCTAAAACAATCTTAAGACGTCCCAGCGTGAGCTGCTAATCTTTTGATACTTTTTCTGGCAAGAGAAATATGTCTAACTTTTTCAAGTTCTTCACTACGTACCTTTTACACTAATGTCGTCAGGTTTGTTTTTCAAACAATCATTAGCATTTGATTCACCTGTGTAGCATTCCCCTAGACCAGGGGTGGCGAACCTTTATGGATCGACGTGCCATTTTTTCTAAAGAAATGTTTAATGAGGTATAGACGTGCCATCAAATAATTTTGACTTGTGATTATTGGGAAAATAATAAAACTAAATACTAACAACACAAGACTCAATTTACAACGAAAAAAATACCTTTTGCATTGTATAGTTGTAAACGTTTTAGTTATACGTGTAATTTAAACTAAAGTGACATTACTGTGACTTCTATTGTTGCAGATTAGATGACAAATAACTTATATTAGGATTGTAAGATGTTACTTTTTGTGGAATGCATGCTGAGTTTGAGTCATCTGCCAAATAGTTTCTAAGCAGTTAATTATTTTGGGGTTCACTTTTTTGACAAAATGGTTTGTGATTTGTTTCAAAATACCATTTTACAGATAATGTTCTGCATACCACAATCCCAGAATCTAAAACACATACCGCTTGGTCGCCTTAACTAAAAAAATACCCTGTTTCTCGGTGCATCAAATTTGAAATTCTCCGTTACATTTACTGTAGTGCACTTTTTGTTCTTTTGCTGATCTAGCCATGTTAAATAACAGTTAAAAATCGTAAATATAGCACAGATAAACTTTAAAATACAGTCGTGTCAATGGAATTGACTATGCTATGAGTAGACAAACTTTACATCATAAGCAATTGTACTGTTCGACTTAGCTAAGCCAAGACAGTAACAAACGAGTGAGCTCCCCGCCGCCCAGCGACCGATCACTCGCTTTGTTCGTAATACTTCGTAGTGAACTCTGAAATTTTGAAAAGAAATGCAAGCCATTTTGATCACTGGCGTGCCAAAAATATTGTGTCACGTGCCCTCAATGGCACGCTTGCCACTGGTTCGCCATCCCTGCCCTAGACTAAATAATTCCGAGGGTTCTGTACTCGTTAGGTTGTGACTCCAACCCAATCTGACGTTAGGAGTGGTTAACCAAATACCCAAATAAGCACAGACACATGAATTCAATTAATAATATAATGAATTAATAGGCTAACTCAAAGTATGAGGAGAACAACTTATATATAGCTATCCGATTCTAAATAACATCAAACTCTCTCTACACTTATCTATAATTGTCAAAAGAATTGCTAGCTCTGCGACGCTGATTATCTAAAGATAGTTATGAACGCATTAAATCTGAATCAAAATGAAAGCTTAGTGAACGATCTCACAATATCAATTACTTTAATAAGAAAATAAGGAATTGCTATCTAGCTGATTGAACCTTCAATATCTTACGCTGGAAGTGTAAATATCACCTATTTTACCCTCACTTTACGTACTGAAATACCGCATATCGCATTTCCACAGTAAAACCACTTTATTTATTTCCACCTTGGTTAAACTTTCAGTAAAACTGTAAAGAAAATAACCCCAAGTTAGTTTTGAGAGAGCAACCTCGCGAGAGATATCCCGCTCATCTTGAGAATTATTTTCGAAATCACGTTTCCAAACTCCTGTTATGGTTATTCTGCTGCTTTTAAGTTGTTTTGTAGCTAATGTAATTGCATGTTTTTGTAACTTTTCGTTTTTCTTTTGATACGTCTGAACCAGAAAATCACAACTCTACTTTTCCTTGAAAATTCTCTTTTTTGCATTTTACTTTTACAATGATTTGCTATTCAACTGAAATAAAACAAATGATTTTGATCAGTGGATGAAATTAGAAAAATAGTTATAATTTGTAATAATTAGATTTAACCTAAAAATATTGAATGATGTGTAAAAACAAATGACAAATGTGTCATGGAACATTCATTTTTCTACACAATTTTGCGCTACAACGTAACTTGAAGATGCATTCGTCAAAAATAATAATAATTCACCTATTTAAATATATATTTGCTACTATTAATATAGGACAGCTTATATGATTTACCTTATAAATTTTCCAGCTCTAATTGCTTAAATTTTTTTTTCAAATTTATTTAAAACTTTTTAACTAAATATTTTTTTATACTTATATAAAACAAGTAAAATAAAAAAAAAATAAAAAGTCGATTCCTGCTTTGGTCAACAAAGAAAATTTTTATTTTAGTTACTTTTTATTAGTAGTTACAATTAATATAAATAAGTATATACATATGACATAATCACAATGTTAAGTGACAAAATAGAAATCAATTTTCCTTGCAATTTTTCATTTTCCTTTCTATATAGGGTGTTGGACTATTTTTGTTTGTTTGTTACTGTTTATTCATTTTTAATTACACTTAATTATTATAATAAAATAGTATAGTAAAAAAGAAATAACATTCTCAGAAATTAGGCCATCCCAGGTGGGATTCGAACCCACGACTTCTGGATTAGAAGTCTATCGTGCTATCCATTGCACTACAGAGACACAACGAACGATTTTCCTTTCTATATATACTGTTGCACTATTATTTTTGTTTGTTACTATATTGATTCATTTTTTAATTTAATTAATGAATTAATATTTATAAAAACTGTATTAACATCAAGAGTCCTCCATTATAAGTTTAAAAAAATGTATTTCAATAAAAAATATTTTACTAACGATTGAAAATTTGAACAACATATATATATATATATATATATATATAGGGAGAGAGTGAACTAATAGTAGAGAGGAATTGAAAAATGTGGCTGTAGTAGCCGAGAGGTCATGGTAACGAACTCGCGGTTAGCGAGTCATGAGTTTGAATTCTGGGCCACTGAAGATCCGCTGAGGGGCTAATGGATGCTACATTTCTCGTGGCTCAAATTGGTGTTGGTGTGGTCTGGAAGTTTGGGGAATGGTTTGACACTTCAAGTGTTGTCCTCGTCACTTTAACTGAGGTTCATTATTGCGAAGTTCGTCAGCAGTAGCCCTCATGTTGCTTTGGGGTGCGACATTAATTAAAAAAAATCCATTAGTCAACAAGAAAATGTATTAAAAGTTTACATTTCATTGAAGCGAAAGTTGAGCAATTATTTTAAAATTAAGTTAATTCTATATTTCTCTGTTAAGTTTATTCTGCC